AGCACCAGGGACAGCTGGGTGGGAAGAAAGGTGGATGTAGGGATGGGCATACAGAAAAATACTGGAGTTAAAGAGTTTCCTCACTGAAACCTGACCCACCTATCAGCCCTTGGAAGACTTTCCATTTGCTTTCTAAACTCTGAGGCCTAAATGTCATATCATTTGCCCAGCCATAAATAGCTGAGAATTAAACAGACTGGGCTGCTTTTTGGCTAATAGATATGTCATCTAGTGCTGCAACCTTATCTTAAAATCCCACTGCTGTTTGCATTGGAGATCAGGACCTTAAGCTTTTCTTTCCAAGTTTTAAAGTGCTGGCAGAACATTCATTCAGTTGTGCAACCTCCATTCAGAGGTTCTCAGGTCTTAGGCATGGGGATAATTTTTTGCCCTTTAATAGCTGCTGTAAATCAATACAGCAGCTGGAGGTCACTTGTAGTCAATCAGTAACCAGTCCTGGCAGAGAGGAAAACACTAAATACTTGGTATTAAAACAGGCTCTAAACTGGATATTCTTGCTCAGGCTGACATTTTCACAGCTGTGACTTTAAAATCTGGCTCCATCCAGCCTCATTGGAGGTACAGCCTACAGTCATGATCTTCTCCTGGTAATTATCCACAGGGAAGAATTTCCCAGCACATGCACAAATTACAGCCAACTGGAGCACAAGGTGCTTCAGGTGGAGGAAGTGGGTCCTGTGGTGCAAGGTGCTCATTTGGTGCCAGCTGAATCAATCCTCCTTTTTTCAGGAAATCATTAGGTATTGGCTGAAGCTATGTATGACCTTCACCACAACCACCTCCCTCAGGAACTGAGATCCATGGCCAGGGGGGAATTCTTTCAGGGTCCCTAATTTATTTTAAAACAAGTGGAAACCCAGATCTTAAATACCTTTGCTGTCTGAATCATATTCCAGTGGCGTCATCACTGCTGTGTGCTCTTCGTTCTGGAACTGGTTGCCCAAAAAATCTTCTGCCTGACCTCATCTGGAGCCCCTGCAATGAGAACATGCTCAATTGCCTCTTTCCTTTGAGCTCAGCAGCTCTGGGCGTTACGTGATGCAGTATGTGTCTCTGAGTAATCACCCAGCCTGCTCTCCGTGCGTGCAGTTCCTTGTACCCTGCCAGCTATGTGACACCAGCCCTGTGTGGCACCAGCCCCACGTACAATCTGTGTGCAGTAGCCACACACCATCACTTTGCTGCTGCTGCTGCTGTTTGTCCCTTGTTAACAGACTGAGACACAACCACCCGTGACTCCTGTTGGGATCCAGGTGCTGGATGGTGTCCGTTCAGCTGCAGGGTTTGCAGATTTGGGGGTTGCAGTTCTCATCCTCATTCCAGGTTGGGAGTGAGGGAGGTGGGCACCTCATGCTGGTTCAGGGCTATCAAGTATCCATGAGATCCATTCCTGATCCCTGGGGAACTTCTGCAGGTCTCAGACACAGCTTCTGCAGGTCTCAGACCCAGCCAATGTGGGTCTGTTCCCAGCTTCTTGGTTGGACTCGATCTTAGGAGGTATTTTCCAACCTTAATGATTTTATGATTCTCTGTTGCTTCCTGAGCCAGTGTCTGTGGGGAATGCTGTTTCCCTCCTGTCTGCATGTGGAGGAAAGCTTTGACATCAGGTCATTGGCCACAGCCATGTGGCTTTGGAGGTGGCATCAATGCCCCAGATCTTCCTTGGAGCCTCACACGGGCACTGGTGCGCCTTCTGAGCCCACAGCCATGCAGTGAAAGGACTCAAGGAAGCTTTTCCCTTTCCTCTCATGCATTTTATATAAACTAAATACTAGCATTTCCTTCCAGCTTTCTGGCAGCCTGAGAGAAAGACCCCACAGAGCAAGATGGAACCTGAGCTCATGAGCAACACAAAAGGGACTTCCTGGTGAGGAGCCACATGCATATGCCCATTAATCCTGAAAGGTGGACCAACATCCTCACACTGGCCCCATGCAGGAGCATCCCCAGGCTGCTGGACTGGTCAGGCTTGAATTTTAGGCTTCTTAAGGGTTTAATAAGAGGCTGAACTAAAATACTAGCTTTGAATGGAGAGCTGAATTGTTCAAGGTCAGAAGGTGGAGAGGCTTGGGGGTGGGGTCAGTCCCATACTACGGGGAGGTGTGGTGCTCCCAGCACTGCTAGGGACAGGTTTTTTTCCTGGTGTGCAGGTGAGGGATGCCTGTGGGACTGCTCCTTCTGCCTCAGGGTACCCGTGATGGTTCTGTGCAGTGGGGCACAGCCTGGGGCACTCCGAGGGGCTTACAGGATCATGTCTGGAGGTTTGGGCAGGAGCTACACGAGAGTGGTTAGGGAGTTGGGCTGGTCTGTTCAGTGTCCATCTCACCCCACCACATTGGAAAACTGACCCAGAGTGTCCCCCAGGATCTCCTGTGCAGGAAAACCCTTGCATACCAGGCCTGCATGTTCCAAGGAGGCTGGCAGACACACCTTGTGCAGCCCTGGCTTTCAGTGCCTCAGAGCACTTGCATGCTGCATGTTTTAAGTGCCTGATGCCTTCCCAGGGCATCACCAGGAGGGAAAGCCAATAAAGCACTTTTGAGCCAAGGCTTCAGCAATGCGCTGTGCTGGCTAGAGCAGCAATGAATCCTCTGCTTTCTGCTCCCAGCTATGTTTGCATCCCAGCTCTTCTGAACAACCAGCTCCATGTCTCCCAAGTCATTCCAACACTCCCGAGTCACTTCAGCACTCCCACACTTAAAAAGTCCCCTAACTTTAGGAAAAAAAGGAGCCATACAAACCCTGTCTTTATTAAAACTTTATCCTCCAAAACCTTTGTGTCAGTATGGCAGAACATTCCACTTCCTACAGGTTGCTCAAAAAATGGCAGATGAGCCATGGGTCAGTGGTGGCTGCCACAGCCAGGGATGATCCTGTGGACAAGCTGCTGGCTGCTTCAGAGGGCAGCAGGACTAGCATCTCCCTGATGTCTGCAAATGGGAAATGCAGCAGGGCTAGCATCTCCCATCTGCAGAAAATGGTCTCCACAAGAACATACACAAACATTATGGGCCTTTAATTGTATTTTTTTTTCACATACACTTAGGAGAGGTACAACAAAAAATCCAGCAGATATTTTCTTGGTCAGCAAAGCCTAGTCCAGACTCCTCTCTCTCCCTCCCACACATCTTCTTGTGAAATTACCCAAAAAACTGGAGATTTAGATCTGTTCCTGTTGCAGGAACATTTCAGAAATAAACCAAGCCCAAATCACTGGGAGAGGAGCCCAGTTCTCCATCCTGCAGTGGTCTCTACCCATGGCTTGGCTGCTGGTGCAGAGCGTGAAATTAGGGGAAGCAGAGCTGAGCTCACATCTGATGCTGTTTCTCTCACTGTGAGTTTTCCTCCCTGCAACAACCAAACACTCAACATGCACAGGCTTTGGGGGGGTGCAGATGTCCAGCATCTGCCTGTTTAACCTCCTTCCCCAGCCCTTGCTATACCTAGTCCCAAAACAGGCCTGCAGCACGTGAACCCACTGCCAGCCTCAGCCACCCGGCAGCGAGCCCGTTAGATGGCACCATGGGGCAGCACTGGCTGCACATTCCTGCCTCTCTTCTTCCCTTCCTTCTTTTCCCCCAGCCATGTCTTGACGCTTCTACAGCCCTGAACTGGCCCTTTGTGTAGGGCAGCAAGCTCTAAGCCCTGCTACAGTCACTTGGCTGAGCCCACAGAGCAAGGAGCAGGGACAAGGCTCACTATGCCATGTTCGCCCGTCTTCCCTGCAATCACAGTCCTCAGCAAGGCAGGATGTTTCCATGATCAGCCTTTTCTTTATTTAAGGATTTTGTATAGGCAAATGTTACATTTTTTGGACACACAAATGTTAAAATGATTTATCCTATGCATACTCACCTGCTCCCACCCACAGCCTGTGCTGGCTGTCTTAGGGAATTCATTCATACACCTGTATGATACGGCCTGGTGGAAAGAGTATTCTGAGGTTGGAAAGACTCTAAAAAGGCTCTAAAAAGGTGACATTGATAAAAGCCTTTAAATTGTCTGCTTTGTCTGCTTATGTTTGTGCAGTTCAGATTCAGGAGCTTTGTGTTTGCCTAATGCAGTTGGCAGACTGTGTATCACATTTTCCTAGGTTGAATTTTGTTCTGACTCCTCTTACTTTGCTCTCTCATCTATAAAAGCAGGATTGTTACTGAAAATAAGCAATAAATTGCTGTGTATGCTCAGGTGTAAAGGCTTTTCAAAAGCAAGACAGCTGGCAGCACACTGCTGACTTGGCTTGGATTTTTTGTGATAGACAATATATTGATTGAAACTTAAATAGGGACGAGGGTGGTTGCTGACCTTGTTCTGTTGACAGAAATGTCATTTCAGGGTGAGATTGTGCCTTGAGCTTTTACAGGGACCTGTTGTCCCGGGCATAGGATCAAGGGAGTTTGTCCTTCAGTAAGGATTGCAATATAGGTAATAGTTGTAATTTTAAAATGAGGTTTTTAAAAGGAAAAAAAGGAAAATTGCAATTAAAAGAAGGAAACTCATGCATAGGTTGGTTAAATGTGCACAATTGTAAGTAGAGACAATAATTTACCGACTTTTCTCTTGAAATATTAGTGCTGCTGTAAGAAGCCAAGCGTGTTACTTACGACAAATCAGACTGAAACTGAGACAGATTAAATTGACATTATATATTTCTTAGCTGTGTAGCCAAACAAATGCTATGAATTCTGTCATTTATGATGGAAGCTAGATAAAAATTTTGTAATTACTGAAGTGAGTCACCTAAATGGCACTCCTATATGGAGAAATTGATTTCAATGCAAGATTAATGGCCTTTTGCTGCTGGTTTACATGCCTGCCAAAGACCAAACTATGTTGTTGCTAAGCATCATTAATGGATTAAAATAGGGGTTCCACATAATTCCTACAGGGTATCTTAAAACAGTGTGTTTAGTTTGGCACTAGCCTAGCACTTGTTAGCCCTACTAATGGATCAGGGCAGCTCACACATGTGAGGGAGGTTAATGCAATCCCAGGAACTCTTTTAAAAGCTCACAGGTTTTCTTGTGGATGACTTCACGGAGCTTGCGCACGCGCCGGATGCTGGAGGTGCCCACAAAGCTGTCTGGCTGTAGGATGGCCATGCCATTGTGGACATCCCCCATGATGATGAGCTGGCCATCCACTGTGGTCATGTTGGGACATGGGCAGCTCCAGTCCATGTTCAAAAGCGTGATTTCTAGTGGTTCCTTCCCCAGGAATTTTAATCCCATTTTGTCATCCTTGAGAATCTCCTCCACCGTCACCAGGGCGTGTCCTGAGTCTTGGTCTTCGGTCAGCTCTGTGATGCGGCCCAGGATGACAAAGTCGCTTTTGCAGAAGCTGGTCACCAGCTTCTGGCGGGGTTTGCAGGCCTTGCAGTGAGTGTTCTTTGGAAAGGGGCACATCTCCTCGCAGGCCTCCCGGCTCTCAAAGTTATTCTCATTGCCTCCACACCCGCCGTAGATAAAGGACTGGCACTGCTTTGTCAAACCGTTGTAGGCCCACCTAGGCTCATAGGCCTTGCAGTGGCCTTGAAGGGCAGGCAGGTTGCAGATGTTGATGGGGCCATTCATGCACGTTAGCATGCAACTCTCGTAGGTCTCAAAGTGGTTGAGGTTGCTGTTGCAGTTCCCATAGATGAAAGTAAAGCAGTTGTTTTTCTTGGCATCATAGTACCACCTGGTCTGCTCTTCCCCACAGTCTTCGCTGTCTGGCTGCTTCAGGCACTCATCAGTTGGAAAATGTGTTTTGTTCTGGGAAGTTTCCTTGGATGTGGGCTCTCCTCTGATGACTGACAAAGGGAAATCTGCCCGGAGGAGGCCACCAGTGTTCTGGGCAGTGCAGGTGTAGATTCCTGCATCCTGCAGCTGCGTATTGTAGATGACCAGCTGAGCGATGTTGGTGACCACGACATTCCCTCTGACATGGTTTGGCTTCATGATGACTTTGTCCTTCCCATCAACCTGCTTCTCCCATGTGATTTCTGGCTTGGGTCTCCCTGAAACGTCGCAGAGGAAGCTGACGGTCTCTCCCACGTAGACGGACTGATGGACAGGGTTGTTCACCAGTGCAGGTGGCAGGATATCAACGACTGTTGTCTCGGAATAGGCAGTGGTAGGGCGAGCTGTTGTTTCTGGGGGGATAGGGCTGGTGTTTGGCCAGGTGAGATGGTACCTACAAGTGACCACATTGAGTGTAATGCCTTTGATGCAGGCCTCTGCATCCATGTAGCACTTGTTGTAGTAGGTAAGTCCATCAGAGGCACAGGTAAAGCTTGGCTCCTTCTCACATCTGTCCTTGCACTTGCAGACGGGCTGCCCGTCCCAGATGTCGCACTCTGAGCCTTGCTGGATGCACATGAAGCGGTCACAGGTTGCCTCTTTGGGCATCCCCACAGGCCCCTTTTTCCCCTTGATGTCCATGTACCGAGCAGCCACACAGCTCTTGGTTCCACAGACATTGGGGCAGCACTTCTCAAAGGTCTCACACTCCTGTGGGGAAGGAAAATAACCTGATCATTACTGGGAACAGAGTAAAGGCCTTTTTGGAGACTCAGCAAGCAGAGAGCTCAGAAACTCAGCTCTGCCACAAATATCCATGGTCTGAAACTCATTGCCCCAGCTGTCAGTGAGTAGAAACATCCCCTCAGCATTTCTCAGGGGGTTCTGAAGTGCTGAAGGAGAACACTCTTGAGAAGGAAAATGTATTTTTGTTTCTTAAGCACACACCTCCTCATAAGTCTTTACCCCAGAGTCACATGGATTGCTTGACTATGAACCAACCACCCCCTTTCATGCTTTCTGAAATGCCTAAGGACAAGCCCTGAGAAACATGAGCAGATGGAAAGTCTTATCATATGGCTGTAGGCAGTAATCCTTCTTATTTTCCACAGAAGTATGTAAAGTATTATTTGAATTCCCTGAGACTAAGAGCCAGCTCTTGGAGGTGAAACTGCCAAGGATTTGTAATTGTTCTCACTGTAGAGGAAATAATAGAATATCTCAAAACTAAGGTAATATTTGCTCCAAAAATAGTTTTTCTATGGTATTTAAAAAATAGTTTTTCTATGGTATTTAAAAAAAGAAACCCCAAACAGCTCATTATGGCTTCTCTGTCCTATTTTAGTCTTATTTTCAAATGCAGCATCGCTCTTCTAGTGATTTATTACATCCCGCCTTGGCTACAGCCAGCTCTTAAATTGTGGTTAGTTTTAGCAGAATTTTCATCTTCTGTGCAGAAAAGGTATTTGATACGTGTGACCAGGGTTACTGGGTGGTTATAGATTAGTTCAAGGGACCAGGAAAACTGCTCCCATGTGCCCAACAGGGCACACTTCCACCATGTGTTAAACCTCTACAAGCCCCCTAAAATCCATTAGCTTTCTCCGTAAGTGAGAACAAAATGGTTTTTAAGCTACCAAGCTAAAGAGTTTCTCTTGAGTCCAGTATCCTTTCCTTACTGGGAAAAAGATGATCTAATATCAAAACTCTTTCCCCATTTCCAGCTGCACATTACTAGGTTTCAAAAGCAAAGCTAGAAACCAGGATTGCGGAGGTTTTCAGCTGGGGTTAAGGAGTGTAGCTTGGCAGAGTCCTTGGTTGCCTGCAGTATACTCACTCTATCCAAAGTCCCAGGACTCTGTGCTGCCACTAAGCAAAATGAATATTTGTAACCAGTGGCTTCTGGCTTTCAGGATTTGACCAGTAAATTATTAAAACATCATCATCTGCTACTGATGCTGCTGCTGCTGGGGTTTTGAAAGTGTTTCACTGTTCATTGCTGCACCTGGTAGTTGGAACAGAGGCAGCTTATTTGGGAATGGCAAAAGTAAAAAGAGCACCTTCATTCCTAACACATGGGATCCATCTGAGTAAATGTCTTTGTTTACTTATAGCCAGAATTTTTGTCAGCCCCCCCCCCCCCCCCCCCCCGCTTTTTAACATGGCAGAAACAACCTGGCTACAGAGCACAAACCCAAACACTTTTTTTCAGCACAGTAAATGTTCTGTCAGCCAGGTTTGGGCTGCAGAAGCTTTGTCATGGGATATCATGTAAGAATTAAGACTAGCAGGTATTTTCAGATGCCAGCTTGAGCTGGCAGTGCTGACAGGTTGAAAAATAAATTTTAGGGTGGTAAGCTAAACACATTTTGAGCTGGGAGCATCCCACAGAACATCTGCCTGGTCATTTTAGCCCTGCCCTGTTCTGCACCCCAAGTAAGCTTTGCGCTTCAAATCCAGCAAAGGCTGATGACTTAAATGTTAAATCAAACTATTTTGTACAGGATTCCTCCCAGTAATATAAAACATTGATGATGGCCACCAACAACAAAGAGCATAATTACACTGTTAAAATACTACAATTGGCCCCAGGGCATGCTGAGTTCTGGAGTATCAAATTCAGATATTTCTTTTGACATGAAAACAAGGAAAAGGATCAAAGAGAGTGAATGCTATACCCACACCAGCAAAAGTGACAGCTGGCACATACTTCCCCTCTTAACTGATAACTCATCAAACTTTTTCTATGTTATATAGGTCACAGGTCAATTCAATACATGCACTGTGTGCACTGGGTCCTGCCCAGTGCCAGTGCCCTTGCAGCTCGGACAGAAGGCTCCCACCAAACACCCCGACAGCCCCAGCAGCACCAGTGAGGCAGAGACACAAAAATGTGCATCACTCACCAGGTCAGTGTCGCACTCCCTCTTGCAAGTGCTCTGTGCGTCGACCCACAGGTTGGGGTTCATGTCATTGGGGCATATTCCAGCGTGGGAGTACCGGATTGGAGGTAGGGCTCTCCCTTTCAGAGAGACCTCCAGAAGCAAGAGGACACTGCTCTTCCCTAGCAAGATCCACATCCACCGAGTGAACAGCACCAACAACATCTCAGAATTTCTCCAGGGCACTGGCAGGGTCCAAGTTGGAAGTAGTTCTTTTTTGCTTGGGGTTGCCTTTTTTTTTTTTTTTTGGTAAGCCTTAAGTTTTTGAGGAACTCAGATGCACCTGACTTTGGTAAAAACTTCAGCAAGCTCCTCTGCTGCCTCTGTCGATAGTGCAGTTTGGTCTGGACCTCATTGGATTAAAGGTCCTAGAAAGTCACCCCCTTATTTTAAGAGAAACGCTACTTGTGCGAGCAGAGTTAGCTCTATTTATACCCTGCCTCTGTTAACAACTCAGAAAAAGTAAACTTGATTTCTTTGACAGGCACACGCTTCCTATGTCCTGGTGGCAGTCAGACAGATTTGTTGCAAGAAAAAAAAGCTGGAAAGAGTTCAAAAGGCTGGAACTGGCATGGTGGGACCCCTGCATGTTTCTGAATGCAGGGAGGCCTTCTTAACCCCTTTAGACCTAAAGTACTTCCCTATGCTAAGAATGGCATTTACTTCTGAAAGGGGACTTGTCTAAGTAACAGGGACCGCAGTCAGAGGATTTCCCCACGGCAAGGGGCTACACAATCACTTGCTAAAAGAAACAAATAATAGGATTGAAGCAATTAAAGCCAGAATGTCATATTTTAACAAAGGAAGTAGGGAAGAAATAACTTATTTAAACTTAGGCTCAACAAAGCAGAACGTCTTCGTAACTTCTCCTGGGGCTCCTCCAGGCTTTTTCTTCTCTTTGGTTGGGAGATTTCCATGATGCTAAGTTTAATGCTGCCTTCCAGTCCCACCAGGAAGATGTTAAAAGTGTCCCTGAATTCCTCCACATTTTCTGACAGCCAGATCCCATTGTACAGTGCATTGCTGACCCCTTTAACAGCAACAACAAAAAATAGAAGTTCAACTCTATGGAAACCTGCATAAAGGAATGTACAGCATTTTTGCATTGGGGGGTGGGAGGGAAACTCAGTCAAGCTGAGTTCCTCATTCCCTGACTATTACAGCAAGGGGCTGATCCTGCTCGTGCTGAACATGTGCCAAAATCCTGAGATAAGTGGCAGAAGTCTGAGCTGCTCAGCACCTTCCAGGATTCGGGCCTCTTGGCTGAGTTTTGGGCTAGCTTGGGTGGATCCTGCATGTTGCTAAGAGCCTCCTGGGACAATCAAGTAAGTTTGCATCCCATGTGGAGGTTCTGCAGGGCTGGACCAGCAGCACTGTGCCTGGGTGGGAGGAAAGGTTGTGCATCCACTCCATGTCCAGTGCTGAGAGCTGCAAAGCCAGTCAGAGTCAGCCCTTACTTTTTTCCATTGGGCTTATAAATCCAGGGGTGTTTTTCATGGCTGAGTTTGGACCTAATTCTCCCCTGAGCAATGATGGCTGCCAACCAGCACAACCAGCAGTGAACTGGGTCACCATGGGGCTTCTGCTCTTCCCCTGGGGCCAGACAGCAGAGCACAGTGACCTGCTGGTGTTTCCTGGGATCACCTGCAGGAGAAAGGGAGGGCAACCTGGAGCCAACCTGCCCTGGGCTGTGGCATTTCTATAGCAGTCCAGGCTTATAAAAGGGACTGTTGTAGCTCTGATTTGTGTTCCTGCATTAACCATATGCACAGTATTTGAATTTCATGGGACATGCAGAGCAAAGTTGTCCAAATTAGCTATTTATAAGGAGCAAAGTCAATGGCCAGGCAGCAGTTTGCAGTTGATTTATTCACTCTGAAACTTTAGAAACCTGCATGACACTTGTGCAAAGTGTGGCTCTGCGCTAAATGTTTTATTCAGTACTTGTTTACAAACTCAGCACCCTGTGATGCCTAAAAAAGCCAACCAAAAATGACACATTCCCAAGAGGTACTTAAAATTCTTGCAGCTCTATTAACAACAAAATCACATGTATTAGTGGTTCTGTTGACTAAACAAAGACACTTTATATTGTAAAACTGACTACAGACAAGCCTTGAAACCAGCTGTATGTGGGTCTTGAGGAGTGCAGGTGTCCAGGGTGCTGGGGAAGCTGCCTTGTTGACCTCAACAGCCACTGCACATGCAGGGAGTTTTTCCTCAATCCATTGCATTGCCACAGAGTAGCCATGGATGTGATTTTCCCTGCGAGCTTTAATCTTTTATGGCTGTTTTATACCTTACCTGCTGGGCCACAGGTGGATCTTACAGTCTTCATCTCCTCTCCTAGTGCCAGACAGCCATGTCCTTGCTAGCTTTGGTGAGTGAGAGACACACTAATGTGGGCCACCATAGGTAGAACTCTGCTCCAAACAGGAAAAAACAGCACTATCTTATTTTTAACTGTCCCTGACCAGGGATCCCTTGCCCAGTGGCACATTTCAGCTGTGGGGAAGCAGAGTGGGGCTCTGAAAAATCAGATACTCGTTTGCATCAGACAGGCAGAGCAGCCTTCTGCTTTGCTATGTCCTTCTCCACCCACAGGGATATTCTCCAGTGACAGGTAAGTCCTGCAGTTTTCTGCTTTCAGCTCTGAGGGATTGTGTTCCTGGATCAGTCCCTTGGCCACTTGAGATCAGCCAGGAGAGAGGAAAA